ACGTGAGGCTCCATCCAACGAAGCTCCTCACGTGCTCCTAGGATATCATCAGGGACGCCTGATGACGTACCTGCGCCGTGACACTACTCCACTCTTCCTTGCTGTGTTTTGATGCCATGGTCGTTCATGTTTCTCCCCCCCAAACCTTTTCCTCCCCAGCAGCGATGCAGCTTGAGCCGCTTCGTCACCGCAGTCAAAAGCAACAACCATTGTTCAAACACCTACAATTTCTCAGACTTTTCGCCATGCTGTTCCACCGCCATCCTTCCCATCGTGGTAACTGAGTTAACTGAAAACCAATGTCAGAGGGTGTGTGTGTGTGTGTCTGTGTGTGTGTGTAGCCAGGGCGCATCTAGCCATGACAAGCAACAGCATCCAATTCCCCGCGCAACCAGCTGGCCTCCCGGTGTCCTGTGCGCATGCGCTCACCAGGATCCATGGAATATCTGGTAGACCTTGGCTGTCCAGGGTCAAAATTGGCAATTTGCATTGGCCTCACCACTTACTGCATTGCTCACAGCAAAGTTATGGGGGAGAGATGCCCTTTGCAACACGACTCTTTGCAAGACATCATCAAAGGGTGTTTGCCTGCAAACGGCACCCTGCCAAAGAAAGACAACAACAATAGAGCTGTTGATAGACTGAGTTTGTACCAGCTGCGTTAGACATGGAACTGACCTTGAGGCAAACATTGTGCCAACCGGATGGGTGCAAGGAAAGTTAATTTCCTTGTTCAAACAGGTTCAGGCTGCGGATGACCCTCACCATCCATCCACGTGAAACCTGTCCTGTCCTGAAGCTTGGCGATCTCACCGGCACAAGCTGGGGTGACAGGTTGGTTGACAGAAACCTGGCACCCGCGCATGCTGGAAGCATCGTAGTCTGCCATGACCTTGAGACCGACGGACTCCAAGCTGGAGGTGCCGAGTCCAGTTCGTCCCGATTGACAGATCTCTTCAGCAAGTTTGAATCGAATCTCGATTGCTACTAGTAGTAAGGGGTGCCTTACTAGTAGTAACAAGCTACTAGTAGTAACAAGCTACTAGTAGTAACAAGCTACTAGTAGTAAGGCACCTTGCTGCTATTAGTAGCTTTTTTCTACTAGTAGTAATGCCCTTGTTACCAGTAGCTTCTTGATTCAAGTGAATCTTGTACAGTAATTAGATCATACTAGATCTAGAGCCAGAGTCCTCTCACGAATCAATTGCTTTCAGCATAAAGCAACCGGGTGGGGCAAAGTCGCCCCCAGCTATGTCTTCAACAGCAGCTGCACCAGGAGATGTACTCCTAACCGCTACATGCTGAAATATGTTGAGACCCTTTGCGCTAGGCACGAAACGCATAGGTCCTGCACAAAGATGAAGAACCTTAGCCCACGGGCACGGACAACCGGGAATAAGACACCCCCTACACCGTGGGGTATCATTCACAGGTTTTCACAGGACGTTCCCGGGCCGTGTGCTTGACTAATCTTGACTATGGGGTGTGCTGTGCGCAGTGTGCTTTCCGAGGGTACACGTGTGGGTATGCTTCGCCAAAGTCAAACATCCGACACCTAAATATATTAGTTAACTATCTATATATAGTTATAATACATAAACTCGACACATTTAAAAAGTACAAACCCATATCTGAATCTGTATGTTCATGGTCCAAAACTTCGCAAACTTCATACCAAAAAGACCTTGCAAAGTCTTCCAAGGAGGCATTGAAAGATCCTATCTTGGCGCGAACCCACAAGAGCTCCCCACAGGCGCAAAGGGCCAGTGAGCTCTGCGGGTGCCTCCGTTGGTCACGTCTCTTCAAAAGATGAAGAGTCTCATGTTGCCCTGTTGATATCCATGAAGCAGTGCATTTTACTACCTTACGCTCTCTTTCTCTCATTTGCGGCACTGAACAAAATAACATAGTTACATGCCTGTTGTTGTCGTGTTATTTACGGTGACACAACAGCTGCCACTCCGTTTGGAACCAACAGGCGATGGGCGCTATGGGTCTCTGAGGCCGTGAGATCGGATCAAAGCGGATAGAGTGTCGCTGCCTGGTTGGGTGCCACGCTCGGCCTGGAGACGTGGATGACGTGGATGGGGCAGTATCAAACAAACTGTGAAAAAAAACTGCAAATTGAATACTGTTATATGGGGCCTGATGACCAAACAACAATTGCAGATTGAACTTGCAGATTCATGTTGATCCGGAGGAAGGCCAGGAAGGCCACGGGTCGGCTTCTATATTAGATTTAAATGCTGTTCATAAGCCAAGTCAAAGATGAGAGCCCCAGTATCTCTCCAGGGTTCGGTATATCCCAGGTTCTTATAACAAATGGATGGTCCACCAACAGCGGTAAGATTCAGGCAGTGCTCTCTGCCGCATTACCGGACCTCAGTGATCGCAGGTGACTTCACAACCAAGGCCCCAAGCGCCATCTAACCTATCTCCCATAAGTGACTGCCCTCTGCAAACTCAGCCTGGTAGAACAGTATATATACATATATTATAGATATATTTGTTTAATTGACAGATTTGGCAGGGGGACTTAGAAAAGATCTGCAGAAATTGAAAAGACTCTACGGAAGTGAATGGACTACCGACTACCTCACATTAGCAGTGAACACAGTGAACACATGCCAACAAGGACATTCACCATCATTCATTTATTGGCTCCGGCCCGGCGCCCCTCGCGCGTCGCACCCTCCATTTTCGTGCACGGGGGCAGTTTCAATGCCTTGGTGAAGCAAAATGGTAGCAAGGCCAAGAGCCCCTAGGAGCGTCCTTGCTCCTAGTAGCGAGGCCAGGAGTCCCTAGTAGCTTGTTGTTCCTAGGCCAGGAGCCCCTAGTAGCGTCCTTGCTCCTAGGAGGTTCAACCTCGACATGGCCTTTGTGGTCGGGTCATTTGGGGCCGCTCTGTAGCCGAAGGAACCTGCAGTGGCCCTCGTGCAAGGCACTCCTGAGGCTCTGGCTGCCTTCAGCCAGGAGCTCCTGCTATGAAATCTATGAACACGGTGACACGCGCTCGCCCGGTGGTGCTTCAAGTGTCGTATGAAAAGTTTCTTGACGCAGGAATATCCGAAAACCATACTTGCGATAAAGAAAGAACATATATAATAGCAAATACCAAGACCTTTGGTCATTGGACCCATTCACTGAGCAAGGACAACAGTTGTCCTTTTGGCAGTCGAGGCGTTTTCTGGTTGAGGAAAATCGATCACACCCTCTGTCATCAACAATAACCCTCTCTCAAAAATTGGACCAATTGGTGTCAGGGTGCAACGGTGCCAGCATCGATCTTTTGTCGCAAGACTTTTTGAAGCATTGTCCTTGAGGCTTTCCGCAAAGCCACCGCGGCGAGCTCGGACGTGCTCCCGAGCCCTGAGGGCGCTTGGCCGGTATGCAATGTGAGCTAGCCAGTTCCCGTGGTGCATCAGCAAATGCAAGCACTGGCATGGCCCTTCGTAAAAGAAGTCCTGACCCAACCCCAGATAATGTATGTCAGCATGTTCAGAATAGAGGCTTTAATTGTCCAGCTCTCTTCAGCCAAACAACGACGTATATTGGAAGGCCCAAGGTTGCAACAAACCGGGTTGCCTACTTTCCCAATAGCCTCTGCAGCGCTAGGCCATATGCCCTAATAGCCCTACATTAGCTGTTAAAGCATCCAGCAAAAAGGTCTTCCGTCCCTGTTTGGGACACCCCCCAATGCCTGGCTCGAGCCAGAAGGCCCAGGCGCGCGCGCTCCGCAGCATTCGCCATCTGGGTTTGGAGGCGTATGTGTTGCATGATCTCCGAAAGAAACTATATGTAAACGAAACGACAAAGAAGCATTGATGGTACATCTCCAACATACAGTATTTTATCTGCAGCAATGGTATGTCGATCTTTCCGCCTACTTCTTGGAAAGATTTTATATTCATACAATATATAATACATATACCATCATATACCTACACAAACTATATAGCGTGATTGTATGTGATTGCTACCTGCCAACTGTTCTCCCTCAGCAGTTGGTTCAACAAAAACCACGCATGCCGGAATGACGTACAAGCTCTGGTAGCCCACCAACAGCAAACGTCAAAACAATTCAGTAGTGGATAGTAGTGGCGTATTGGCCTCGGCGGCTTTCCTATGGAAAACTGAATCTGGGCAGTCTGCCTACCCATTTAAGACATGCCTCTCTCCGGGTCAAATGTCAGGCAGAACCTATCAGAACTATCAGACCTTGTCACTCTCATTATTTGATTTTTGGCACCTACTCTTCCCAAACCAGCAAAGGCCCACCTTGGCGTTCAAACACTGGGGTGAAGGATGGTATGTTAGACGAAGCACCTAGACGAAGCACCTATATACATATATATATATATCAATCTATATATATATTTTTTGATATATATTAGATCATGACTATATAGTAAATATTCACACATGGGTGTACATAATGGTACTCCACATGCAGTGAGGTGATTAATTGCTCGCCCTTAGTGCACCGGAAAAGGGTCAAACCGGGACACTAGGAAGCGGATCTTCTCGGCAAAGCCCTTGGCTTCTTCCTCTGTGGCGATGAGGGTGTGAGCAAAGTGGATGTGATCCTGACCTCGCCGATGTGATGCACTTGGGCCACTCGGGGGTCACACGCCTTGTGGGTCCAATTTGTATACAAAGAAGCGAAACAGTGGCGCTTAAACCTAGTAGCTTCTTGTTAATAGTGGCGATGCCAGGAGCTGCTAGTAGCGTCCTTGCTCCTAGTAGCGATGCCCCTTGTTCCTAGTGCGTGAGGCTTAAACACCAGGTTCCAAACCCCAGGCTCAACTTTCTTCCGACCGCTTGGCCCAGCGAGCTATCTCCTTAGAAGACGGGCGGCTCTGCCTCGAGTTTCAACTTCTTTAGTTTCCTAGTAGTAAGAATGCTCCTAGTAGCGATGCCCTTGCTCCTAGTAGCGGCCTTGTTCCTAGTAGTGGGTTTAACCAAAAAGGTGTCTTTCCTGATGACCCTTCGCCGTGCCGCTACGAGTGACGATCCGCCGTGACCCCTTCCGCCCCGTGACGGCCTTCTTTCCGTGGCCGTCCAGGATCCAAGCGTTCTTCCGCCTCCGCCAGCGTCAGCCCTCGGAGCATCTCACGGGTCCTGTCGGTCGGACGGACACCGACGGATCCGCATGGATCGCACCCAGTGATGGGCGTCCTGACCGTCCTGACCGGCGTCCTGGCTATTGTAGCTGCAAAGCATGTCTCACGACGCTGACCCCAGTCCTGGAATCATGAACCAAGGTCACGGGAGTGACCTGCAACTCCTGAAACGTGTGAGATCCATGAGCTGTGGTTGAGTGCAGAAGGAGGAAAGACTTTGAAACACCAGGAGGCTTCACAATGAATGTTCGCCCGCCAAGTTCATCTTTGCACCCACTTGCCGGAAAGAAACAGTACGATACAGTATATACGTACTCGCCCCAGGAGTGACAAGCAAGGGATCTTGCAGCTCCCACTTGACCACCTTGCATCGGATGTGATTGTCACATCCATGTTTAAAGCTCCTTAAACCATCGAAATACCAAACTCAAAGGTGCAAGAATTCTGGGAGAAGCTAGGTCCCACATTATGTATCCAAGTTTTTGAGATTCGTCTGGAGTACCAAGCCCACCCAAGCTGGCGAAAGAAGCGAGCCTCCAGAAAATTGGCCTCCTTCAAACCATAAGATCCTCAGTCTTCAAAAGGAGCAACCGCACATCAGGATCGTGTTGCTTTCCTTTGCTGTTTCGCATTGCTATGCTTTTGCTATTGTCGTCGTATACTGCAATGGTATCTGAGGACAAGGATTGGTGACCTTTGGCTGCCAGCAAAAGGATTGGTGCAAAACCGAAAAGTGGTGCCCACCTCCCTGTGCGGCGCTGTGCGGCTTCCGTGTTACGGCTTCGGCGAAACATGTGAGACCCGAGCATCCGGTGCTCACCACACAAAGGCCACGGAGCTGCGCCTGAGCAAAGTGAATGCCTTCCTAGGTACTATCTGCTTGAATTTACTTGATAGCAATAGAAAACATATTCCCAGATGCGTGTTCACCCACAGCGGGAAAAATCACCTTAAGCAAAACCGGGTCTGTTTGGTGCCCAAGTGATAGTCAACACCAGGAATAGGAGCAGATTCCGCATCTTCCCATTCCATGTCTATGTAGAACGATGTTGAACGCCTCAGTTTCCGCCACACGCTCCTGGGCCCTGCGCAGCCGGAACGTCGCGTTTGTGCCTCCACTGCGACCAGTCCAAAGGACTCCTGCCAGAGTGATGGCATCAGCAACACTGCGGTCCTCAGCAAGGCATCCACGCTCAGGGATTTCTACGAAACATGCATGGGCGTAGATAAAAAGAACAACCGCCTCCTCTACCTTTGCATATGAAATCAATGGATGGTCTTTCGTACTTTGAGGTGCGATTCATCTTGTTGATCCACACAGCTACGGCTCTCGGGCCTGGCGGCGAGTTCTGGCTTTCAGTCCCAGCCGCTGCTGATACACTGTATCTAAATCGTCACTGCCAGGGACAACCTTGACATTCGGATGAGCTCGCCTGGGTGTCTTCATCCGTTGGCCAAATGGCCAAATCTTCAAATGAGCTACTGTAAGTACATGTGTGGCCAACCATCCGTCAATTCACGTCACGGTCACCAGTGCACTGCGCACAGAAGGCATGTCACATATCAACACAATCGATAGAAACTAACCGTTAAAAACCCACCAGTTTCTTGCACTGCGCATGTCACATGAGCAAGGAGCCTATGACAAAATGTGACAAGGTTGTCACCACCCCTGCCAAGCTGCAGCTGCACTTCATGCAAAGTCTTTGTCCAGCCAGTGCTGACACACAGGAATTCCACATCAGGCAGCCTCAGTCAGGATTGAAAAGTACGGAGCTGTCAACTATACAGCCGTCGACAGGTGTGGCCCATGGCATTTTCTGGGCTACCTTTTCACCAACAACAACAACAAATAGTCAGCGAGTGATCATCGACCACCCTGGATCAATCCCCTTGAGCCGGGTTCTGTGCGTGTTTGAGAGCTTCCAGCTTCAAAACCGCTCACCACTCTGAAAAGATCAGTAAACACACTGAGCCCTTCAGTAGTGAATCTTTGGCGGCGGTCACTCCAATGGCTCCCTCCAGTTTCTCTCATGGTATTTCTCATCTGAGGCACATCAAGGCCAAACGCAGGAGAATCGCCAAGCCTTTGGCTGGACTCGGACTGATCAAGGTCACCTCCGGTGCACGATAAAAGAACCCCAATAACGTATAATGCCGAATAGTGTGTGAGTTTAGCCGTTTAGCAGCTCAAAGGCTTAAAAAGAGCTCGGTTGTCCAGTCTTTCTTGGATTTTCTCAGACTTCCATTTTTTTGGGGGGGGTCTCTCCAAGACAATCTTGCAGTCTGGAGTTTGTTTGCGGGGGCCGAAGTCAGTGTTAACAGTCCCACCACCATCCACCAACTTACAGTCCAGTGGACATACATCAACCTTTGTTGCCTTCAGCAGCAACATGTCGAACAAAGAAAACAACCTGTTGAAACTTGAAACAAGTTGTTGTAAAATAATGACCTCTGTTGTCGCACTTCTGATGTCTCTTGTGCGTGACATATTTTTGGACGTCATGTTCACACTGAACAGTTGCCATGCTTCCGAAGAGAAACGTGTGGCCGACATGCTTCCAACATTGACCCAGTCACGTATCTGGGCTCATTGGCCAAAGGCAAATCTTCGGAGTCAAAATAGCCATAGTCCGCACAGTAGCACAAGCGTGTCTTCACACGGCCTCACGGGATCAGAACAAAAGACAACCACCAAACAAGGCGGGGGCACCACCCATGATACATCATGATACATCATGATACCAACAAACACAATGCAGCGCAGTGAAGATGTGGAATGCATGGCCCATGGAGAAGATGCACGAGCCGAGCACGAGCCGAGCCTGCGGCCTACTACTCAAGCCGGTTCGAAATGTCACATGGATGGATTGCCTGAAATTGTGCGTAAGTCGACCCTAAATACAGCCCTTGCACTTCATGGTGTTCAGGTCTCAAACTCTGCTAGGAGATGATTTGGTTCTTTCTTCATCTGTGTTCATTGACTGCTTATCACCTCTCCTTGAGAGAAGCGGTGCACGAAGTCCACTAAGTGCTGAGAAGTGCAGAACCTAGGATCATCAAAAAAATGTTGGACGCGCCAAGGGCCCAAGAGCCACAGTGTTTTTAGGTGGATTTTACTGCCAGCCAAACCCTATGGATCCTGACGTATACTGACTGTTTAACTGTTTTTTGTGTTAAATGTCCGCCCACCCCATCCCAAGCAAGCGACATCGTCATCCGTGAGTCTTGGATCAACACGCGATGCAAGGCCAACCTCGGTCCCGACTTCTCGTGAACTTGCTTTGGTTTGAGATGTCTTCGCCGGATGCCAACGATAATAACACAACAAGAAGTCTCGAGATAGATTGCTGAAAACAATCTGTCCTATCAGCCAATGCCCAGCACTCGATGCCGACACGCGGCATCTCTGGCTCCACTTCCATGCCCCATGGGCCAAAGGGCAAGTTGTAGTCGTGGCCCATGGCCTGAGACGCACTCGGTTGTTGCCCCAAATGACGAGCCTGCAAGCTCACAGGCCCCAAAAAGATCTCCAATACTTTCTCAAATTCTCGTGTTTGTGCTTCTGTATCTTCTGTTTCTTCTTGCGACTGTGTACCCTATCCCAATGGGAATCTTGTTCATCCAGTCATGAGAATGGCCACTTAAATTCGACACCGCGGTGGCATGACGTCATAGGGAACCCCCACAACGCCCCCTTCTGCGGCTGGGCCGCCACATACTTCTTGGCGCGGATGCTCCTGCGACGGAGGTGAGGCAGGTGGGCTGGCAGCCATTCGCACCATGAACAACAGGACACTGCCACGGCACACAGCCAGACCTCTTCCAAATACTCTCAACATTTTTACCGGTGGTTTCAAATCGGCCCCTGATGGCTACTCCCATCCCCTGACCGCCCGCCTCAACATGAGCTCCAAGCAGGTCCGCCTCGATTGGATGGAGACAGCCACGTCCACTGCGAGGTCGCCAGCGCAGGCGCCTCGCATGGTTGCAGGAGTGAAGGGCGATGTTTCACTACTTGAAGGTGGGGGCCTGGGCTTCAAGAAATGGAACACCAAGTGTTCACATCTCAAGAACAAGCAAAAAAAGCACACCTGAGCCGTCTTTAAAAGGGTAAAGCGTCTATACACTGCTGTGTTGCCTGCGCTGGGGGTTTCGCAGGGTCAGAATTTGTTGGACGTATTTCTGGGAAGGGTGTCTTTGCGTTGCTTTGCGAATTGAGTAGGTGCCTACTTAATTAAGTAAGGAGATGTAAGGAGTAAACACGCTACATCACGCTACGCAGGACACTGGACGCAGGACGCAACGTAGCTCACGCACGGACCATCATTTGGTTCCTAGATGTTTAGGGAAACTACATGGGAAACGATGGGAAACGCATGGAAACGCTATATTTATCATTCTGCTGACTCTCACTGACTAGTGAGATCACCGACAGGACCCCTCTCTCAGTGATTGTTCTGATGGAATGATTTCCGACAAGTGAGACAGGTCTTGGTGGGTCCAGACGTCGCCTAGAAGCTGCCCCATGCTGCCACGCCAAGCAGAAACCTCAAGGATGATCAATCAACCATCTTGGGTGGAATATCGACAACGCAATAACAATCCACAACTATTGCAAAATATATCTTATATAGTTATAGCGCATAGGCACTCGCATAGGCATGCACGTGCACTTTTAATTACGGTCTTTCGATTCAACTAGGACCTAACTAGAGTGGCACCTGGCTGGAACTGAGACCTACACCGGCTGGCCCCCACGGATGTTGAGCGTCACATGCTGTGGGCCTTCACTGGGCAAGGCCCAGTGGCCCGTCTCATTCTTCCAATCCTTGGCCAAAATACCGTGGACAATGCTCAGAGGCCAGTGCATTTGGGGACTGATGTCCTGTCCAATGGTGGGTATTTCATGTTTTCTGACCAGGAACGGCCGAACACCCTCAGGGATAGCCGCACCCAGCGCCACGTCCGCATGAACCAGCCCAGTGTCGTAAACCAGCACGGCCGTGAGTTCGAAGTCCTCGCTCTGCGCGATCGACCGCAGCAGCGCCTGCGCGGCATAGCGCCGGCCATTGCCCGTGCTCGAGACCATCCCCACGTCCTTGGATAAGCCGAAGGGGCTGGGTGGCTTGGCTGCTTGGGTGGGCATCAGCGTGCCACCGGAGGCATTTTGAGAGGGCCAAGTCTCACTCCTCACTTGCCAAGAAGTAGTAGTGACAAGTCGTGGGGAGTATACATCTGTCAGAAGCGGGAAGTCGTGCGATTCAAAGCTTACCTTTGAGCTCGGGAAGTGGAAAATGTCAACAATGTGCTGGTTGAAGTCTTCGCAACTGAACCCTTTGATTGCCTGGACTCGTTCAGGGAAGTACTGCGTACTATTATTAGTGGGAGAATTCAAGGATGTATGACGTAAGGTGGTTGATTATGCAGTGACCAGCAATGCCTCTATCGGATTTTGACTTGTCATTGTGCTCTATACAATAGTGCTACGTTAAGAACCCTACTTCGGGACGGAGGGCTTCACATGCAAGGCAGGTTCGGGTCACCTGATACAAAAACTCAGCCTCGAACGAAGAGGCTCGTCTCATCAAATTCATCCTGCCCAAGCGGGGTCAATCCAAATCATGGACAACACAGCGGAAGAAACATTCTTTATCAACCCTTCCCTTCTTGGCTCTGTATAGCGCATGACCACCGATACTATTGACTCTGCCCAATGACTCCCAAAACGATCACTGCCAAAAGAAGGGGTGGAACGTGAGGCTTGCCACATTGCCTGCGTTGCCAGCACAGCAACGCGCAGTCGGGCTGTCGCCTGACCAGTTTCCCACAGGTCGAGTGCATCTCAGCGGAGTCGACCCTCAAAGATGGACGACTTGTGATTTTTCCAGTGCCGATCCATGAGCTGTGCAGAAGCATCAGCTGAAGCCCAGACAGCGAGGCCAAATGGCAAGTCCCGTTCGACGGACACACGGACAGGGCCTTCTCTGGTCGATGAAGAAGTGGATCCGGCCTCCCAGAGGTGAAGGTTATGGTTCATCACAAGACCCCACAGCACTACAGCAGTGCATCTGCATTTGTGCTTTGAATCACTTGCATATGGCTTCTTACCATAATGGCAGGGTGGCCAGAACAAAAGCTGCTCTGCAACTGGTGCAGCCCTTTGGGCATTTTGTCTGCTTGCCATACCAAACGCACTCCGTTAGAGACTCCATGGTCTGCATGATCCTCCCATCTGCACCTCAGGAGCAGCTCCGCCCCCTTCTGTGGTGAAGCCGCGTTGCACAAGACCTCCACCGATTGCTGCGCACGAAGGTAGGCCACTCCTTCAGCGAGTCGTGCAAGGTAGAGTGTATAGTCATAAAGGTCACGAACACCAGCGAATGAGAACAATGACGGCTACTTAGCTGCACAAAACCAACGTTGTGTGCCTTTTGGGAAAGTCACCCCACTTGATGAGTGGGTCATAGACCGTTGAAAACTGAACTGAAGGCACACCATTACGGCACAAGCTGCTTCTTTCCCGAGGCTCGTGGCGTCTTCGTGAACCAGGCCAAGACCAATGACCCACCCAAAAGGCCAAGTGATCTGGTGGACAAGTTTGGAAGGCCACTTGTTCCATTTGTTCCAACGGAAGCCCCATGATGCCCCTCAGAAGCCGAGTTCCTGTTCCAACTGTGCCATCAGGAACCTCTTGGAGGTCCGTCGACACAGGATTTCGAGCATCTCAGCGATTCACAAGTTCGTTGCTTTCAAACCCCACCAGCTTCATCAATCCAACAATTGTTGGTTTCAAATCTGGCACAAGTCCTCCAAAAAGGACGAGCCCTGCCAGGCCCTTCTTCTCGCAAAAGGCCTCTGCTGGGATTGGCAGCCCATCAATCCAAAAAATTGTACCAAATAGGAAATCACTGGAGACTGGAGTGGCTGCAGCTTTTGGCCAGGGCCCTAAGGCATGAGGCTCTTGAAGCCTTGTGGCTAGGAAAGAGTTGGTGGAACCCCTTCATGGTCTCTTGAAAGAATCTACTCGCCCAGCAGTCGGGTCACATCTGAGTCATCGACCTTGGCCTGCGCCAACTGGGACACGGGGACTTTGCCCAAGTCCTCTCCAGGAAAGGCGTCGTGGTCCCGGAGCACGTGCCACCTAGCCACTTGGTGCCAAGGAGGAAGACATCTTCACATCAAGACTTGATTATGCGTTCAATGACCTAGGCAAGTTGAAACTGGACATGGAAAAACTGTTGGACTTCATGTTACTTTGTATTGTTTTTTGTTTTGGTATTGCTGTGCGTCTTGGTCTCCTACCAGAAAAACAAAGGAAACCCTGGATAAGGGGGTAATGTTTCTGCAATTTTCTGCGTCCATTCATTAGAACTCCAGGCAACAGAAGTGAGATTGAAACTGTCTTGGCCTTAGCCTGAAAATTGTTCGTTATGTGTTTTTATGGTTGTTCTGTCTTGTTTCCCTCCTTTCCTAAATGCCATGGAGAGAAACACAAACACACCATTAAAACACAACATAGTGCGGTATTCGGCGGTATTAAGAACCACTCCACATCAATGGACCGGCTTCAAACCAAAAGGTGCACCAACCACCAACCCCAACCAATCGCCAACCAGCAAAAGGATCACGCGTCCTCATATATCACCAGAAAACAAACCAATGAAATGACTGTCATGTGGCCTTCGCTCCCCCCTCCAAAAAAGGCCCAAACTGGTCACTATGCAAAACCACTGGCAAAAAGGAACAGTTGTCTATAAAAAGGCCTCTGTTTCTTTGGATCCATAGTTCTGTTCCTCCTCCCATTGTCAGACCTGTCCACCATACCACCACACCTGGGCCGCCATTCGTCTTCCCGGAGTGGCTGTGGCTCCTGGAGCAGGCCGGCGGCTGTACGCGCCAGCCGGGAGCCGTGGTTTTTTGTGAGGCACAGGAAATCACTCATGGGAAGTCACAGGAATTTCTGATTCACAACTGGGTGCATGTTGGTCTTTTTAATAAAAACAAACTATAAGTGTATTATTAGTATATTTGGGGCCTGCTTTCATCTGCTTCTTGTTCTTTCCGTTGCTTCTGGTTGTTTCAGGACCCCTGGCTACAGCGTCGAGCGCCCAGGGGATGAGCCACGCCTGGATCTTCGGGACCTTCTGTTCGGCGAAGATCCGCTGGTCCTCGCGGGTCGCCATCGCCACGCACAGCCTGGCGTGCGACCATGGAAGGAGTCGAAGGGGAGAGGAATGGAGAGGGAAAGCAACCCAGAGTTCCCAAAGGTTCCCAATGAAAAGGTCTTATCTCTCAACGCTATTAGGTTGGAGGCCATCGCTAGTAGGGTGGAGGCCATTGCTACTCAGGAGACCAAAGTTCCCAAATGTTCCCAATCAAGAGGCCCAATGGAGCATTTTGGGCGAGCTCTGATGATCCAATGCTTTGGAGCGTCAGTTTTTTCACCCAAGATTGGTCAAGGCAAGCCGCTGAAAGTCCACTTTGAAGCAAAAGCGTCCTTCTCTCTACGTGTCCCTGAATTTCTTCGTGGCACTCTTCCCAGCACAGCACTCGCAAAGCAGCCATCCACTCCCATCCCTGAATAGCTTGGGCTCCATTCATGACAATGTGACAATGTGGAATTGCCGGGTTTCCTCCTGAACTTCCAGCGATCTACATCTGAAAGTGTCATACAGTTTTGTATTTAATATATGTGATGTGTGTGAAAATCCACTGATTCTTGATTGCAGCAGGAGATGGCAGGAGCCCACTCGACTGGAGCCTGGAAGCCCCCATCTCCGACCCTCCGCTTGAACTTGCCTGGCCCGCAGCTCTCCATCCACATGCAGCGGGAGGACCGCCGGCAGCACGGGACCACGCGCCGCTCCAGCATTGGGTCGCTGGCCTGAGTGAGGTCCCATACACCTCCCGTCAACAATGCAGATGGATGATGGAATCACAAAATCATGTCATAATTAGGTCAAAATGCACAAACTAGTTACAGTACTAATTTACAAGTGCTCAAATGTGCCATGCTGGGTGTGTCTGCCTGTCAGGCTCATTGTATTGGAACACCGGGTGACCTATTGCATCCTATTGCCACATTGGATGTTTGTCGTTTGCCTTGGCTCATTCTGGAAACGAGCACTGAATACTACAATCTGACCTCATATACGATAGCGCTAGTGGATTCGACCAGTAGCTTCTTGGCTTACAACCATTGTGGAAACCAAAAACATCAAAGGGCACCATGCCTTGCTGTTTAAGTACTATAACTACAACTCCTTTTGGCATTCCAATCGCATGGTTGTAGTCTGCGTGCCTTGCCCCAATCTGCGATCCCGAATCGCCCCTCCATCCGCCTCGCGTACCCCATCGGATGCGCAGCACAGGCCCGACATCACAGGTGAAGGCACAGCACATGGCCCAGGCGTTTCTTGCGGAAAGTGATGCAGACTGACAGGAAACTACTAGGAGCAATGTTCGCTACTAGGGGCTCCTGGCCTTACTACTAGTAACAAGAGCTCACTGCAAACTGGAAGACTGAAGATAATGCAAACCTGGCCGACCGGCCGACCCCAAAGGGTTGTTTGGAGGATCATTTTTTGTTCCAAAAGCAATTTCCGAACAATTCAAAACAATCGAACCTGGGGATCACTTCTTATTTGACCAACTGGTTCCTTTCACAAAGGTCATGCACCTTTGACCGTCTTTGACTCTTAGTAACTCCAACCTCAAGGCCCTCATTTAGTTTGGGCCACACAAGCCTGGGCCGAATGACAATGAGAAAATTGTTGCTATCATCTCGGCTGGTGGACTGTGACTATGAGCGAAAAGCCAAACCTCAGAGCTGAGTTGTGCCATGCCACGCGACCGAATCAACCCCAATGCGATCACGAACCGCACATCAGGACCTCGATGAGCCTGAAGAGAACTAGGGAACTGGCAACCAATCCACTGTTTCTGGGTCCTGGGTGCCTAGACATGCCTCGACATGCCGTCTGAGCCGCTTGGCAAACCGTGGGACATTTTTGTGAACCGCGCAGCAGCGCTGAGTCCGCTCGAGCGTGGTCGGTCTCCAGCGGCGGGGACGGGTGGAAAAGCAATGGAGTTGCAGCAGGAACGTGCAACCCAAATAGAACGAACATGGAATATGGAACTGTCATGGAAACTATGGAACGAGTACATAAGAATATCGGAAAATTGTTTGATGAATGTGGTCATCTTGCTGGAGGCGGTATGGCACCACAAAATGGGAACCCCATGGGCCCCTCGCAAAACCCACACAGTCCAGCCACACCACGCCGTTCAGTTCCGCACGGATGCTCTCCAACTCCGCGGAGGACGCTGGAGCCATCTGAGACCAACCGGCGTCAGACCCCAGGCGTTTCAGAAATCAACCACACGAGTCGACCAAACAACCTACAAAAGAACCAGGGAACAATGCCAATGCACAGTGCAAAACGACGAAAGAACCAGAACAGGAACAGCAAGAACAAGGACATGCAAAAAAATGAGATCAAGAACATTCAAGAATGATCACACCAACAGGGAATTACAATTCAAAAAAGAAATGAGGACAGGACAAGTACAAGAAGAACATAAAATAACAAGCAACACCAGAACAGCGACAACAAGAAACACCACAAGAACAAGGACAAGAACGTCACAAAAACAAATAGCAAAAACAACCCTCCGGGTCGGAAACAGAACGTATAGTTGTGCGCATTTTAATCATGAGGAAGCCTCCCAAACCACAAGAGCCCGGTAAAAACCCACATGTTTAATGTCATTATCTGTCATCTATGCGCGGGGCCTGACTGCGTGCCCTACAAAACCCTATGCTTTGCAGTGAATTCTGCCCATTTTCCTGAATTTAGGGTGTCGTTTCGTGACTCCTTTTTTGAGAAAGGTGTAAAAGGTCATAGGAAATGCAACGCACAACTTGCGCGCTTTTTTGCTGCTTTTGTCACATGTCCTTTGACAGTTGTTTGGCGCGCAGTGACATCAGGTTGTTTGAACCTGCTTGCATGAAGCGCGACTGCCACGACCGAATCCTTCGCTCAATGAGGAAAACTTTCGAAGAGAGCGACCAGCCCCCCCAACCTCCCCGTAGAATCTTCTGACCTCACATCTTTAACAACTCATCACCATCGTGTTCTACTGATCACACGAACGAAGCCAGCCCCCCCCGAACCTCTCGTAGTATCTTCTGTCCGCTTCTGTCGTCACATCAAAATCTCATCACCATCGTGTTCTACTGATCACACGAACGAAACCAGCCCCCCCGAACCTCCTGTAGTATCTTCTGTCGTCACATCAACAACTCATCAACAATTCATCATCATC